CATTACAGATTGATCGAAAATCTGAGGAACTGAGCTCCCTGAGAATTCAACTAGAAGAACAAAGAGCAGAGACTYTACGACTGAAAACACAACTACAAGAGATGGACGATAGGTTCTTTGATTCACAAGCCAAAACAAAAGAACAACTTAGTAGAGAACTTAGGGTATGTTGACTCTACTGTGTGCATACAGTATGAGGGTGGTCACTTTAAATTGAAGTCAATTTGGGGATAATTTACTTTTTACCACAACTTGTAGAATTCTCAYGCGCTGATTGGTTGAGAGCCGTTGTCGATCCTAGGATAGACCAATAAAATGACAAATTGCTTGCGCACAGGGCCGACGCACACCAGAAAYGGTTTTGTTTTGAAAGTTTTACTAACTTACTGTGTTTTTGGCTTTGTTATGGTAAAAAAAAAACAAATCGAAATCGCTTCTCTATGGTCTGTAYGCTTATCGACAATGAAAATGGTGTCAGAAAATTATCAAAACTCAAGTGGAACCACGAGCGTAGCAATTTCGATTTTGTTAAATGGACTACCGACTTTCCTTGATCCTTTGAGCATGCCATAGAAGTGAAAAGTAATGCTTGGGTACACGTCTGATGGACTACTGCAAAAGTCACTGCTGGACTTGATGTTTTTTTAAGCAATTTTTAGACCTCATTGTTGGTTATACCTACATGTGTAATAGATAAATCTCAAAGASCACTCTCTCTTTTATGCGGGGTGTTTATGACTAGTAAATCAGGATAATTGCCATGGGCAAATTAGAAATTTTGTTATTTATTTATCAGGAAGAAATACGGCAACTGAGACTACAGCTTAAAGAAAAAGAAATTAGTGCTGAACAGGACAGAAGCCTACGGAACAAGGTATTATTAGCTCTCTTCTTTGTCAGAGATATTTATATCATGTCTGCAATCAAGCCTGAAATGTAATGAATATTTTCCTTGCAGACATTGTTTCTTATTTGTACTCTTTCAATTTCTATAATGATCTTAAGGCCCTTTCACACTTTGTGATTTTTTCAGTGTGATTGAATGCTACTTTTTTCCTGCTCACGTCACATAGGCCTAAACAGCTGTGCGATTGTCATGGCGATTGTAACATATGGCACTTGTAATGCAAACTGTATAATAATTTTATT